CGTCCCCCAGACCTCAGGGTCTCTGTACACGCTGTCCCCACTCTTCCCTCTGCAGAAATATCTTCCTAGGAAAAACCTCCTTGACCTCCCTGAGTCAGATCCCCGTCTTAGGCTCATAGCATTAGATATACCTCTACTTCAGAGCCATTGTCCCAGCTTCAATTTTCAATAACTTGTGTAATTATTAATCTTTGTCTCTCCCTCTGAACTTTAAACTCCAAAAAGTGGGCACTGTCTGTTTTCCCCTTATCATGGCATCTTTGCCTCCGACATAGTGCCTGGCACACAGTAGACGCATAATAAATATATTTTGAATGACTAAATACATACCCATGACCCTCAAACCTCCATCTCCTATAGGAAACTCCCTGCCAAGCTTCAGAACAGTATGCCCACCTGCCTCCTGGACCTCTGTGTCTGACTCTGTCAAACTCACCCCAGAGGAGATGGAATTCACCACATCCTTCCTCAAACCTACTTAACACCCTCCCACAGCTCCCCACTGACAGGACTCTGCCTTCAAGGCCAGTCCAGAGGCTGGACAGTATTTTCTCATGGTTAACAATGACTAGGACTGATTAACAAATGTTCATTTTAAAAAAGGAAAGAAGAGGTAGTGCCTAGATGACCCTGGTGGTATGAAAATTTCAGTTTCTTCTCCTACTCACTAAATCTCTTTCTATCAAAAGAAAAATGATTTATGAAAACAGCTGAGACCACAAACTAGTAATCACTGTACATTATACAAAAATATTAAGGCATACAAGTTATAGCCCAAACTGGTGAGTTCCCTTCCAGTGCCCAAGGAAAGAGTAGAGCTGTCGGAGAGAGACGCGTGACCCATCTGTGGTTCCGTAATATATCCACGGGAACAAGACAGCTTCAGATATTCTCAGGGACCCTCCCATCCTCTGGCGGCCTCCACTTTCATACACCTCACCTCTTCTGACCTTGGTAAGCCCCGCCTCATCCATCACGTCAGAGCATCTCACCATTCAGCCCAAGTGCAGTCTCATTGCCACGGCAGCCCCTCGCCAAAGTCTCAGCAGGGGAACTGGAGGCAGTCCGTTGCCCTCCTCCTTCAACCAGGAATTATTACTAGGGATCCAGAGTCCTCCAAGTCTTCATCACACTCCATCGTTACATCCAACTCACCCCTTAACACAATGGGGTCAGCTGGCTAGAAAGCTGCCAGCCCAGCTCGTGGAACCATCGAAGAGAAAGGCTAAGCGAACCGCCCCTGCCAACTTCCTTCTTGTTTTCTCTCTGCTCGGGTCTTTAAGGACCACAGTACATAGCATCTCTCTTCCCCATGCAAATTCTGAGCCAATTAGGAGACAAGATGTGGCATCAAGGCAGATAAGGGGGCAAAATATCACCTGCATCACTAATGAAACTCGGTAATGCAGAACATGATTCATATCTATGGATGCCTGGTCTTCCTGACACTGAACCCCAGAATTAGACAGACTTAACGACCCAGTTTTAAGATCTACATTACAGAGGAGCAGAAGAGAGCAGAAACTGTGCTTCCGACAGGCAAAGAGGAGGGCGGAGCAGAACGATAGACACCCGGTTCCTTATCCCAACTCACTGTCTACATAAGGCACCCCTTCGAAAGAGACGGGACAGGAATGTTACACAATGGGTATCTTTCTATAGGGAGAGAAACATCATGAGTGAAGAGGCATCCTCTCTGGGGCCCTCCAAAGCTACAATCTGCACATGTCGTTAACATTTCGAGAGGCCAGGAGTCGTCAGTAAGATACTGACAGCACAAGGCCACGTTACCAGCTTTGATTAGAGGCCACCTCTTTCTAGATATGCCGGGATGCCCTGAAAGAGGCTCTGCCTTATTTCTCCTTCCTTCCCAGCCTCTCTCAGACCATGCAGAATTCCAAACATTCAACAACTGGTACACCATGGCCCCTGAGCAGTCAGAGCAGACACCCGATCAGAGGAGACGCTAGAGAAGAGCTTACCCTCTGAAGAGCTGCCTTCACTACTTGAAAACCTGGATGATGAGAATGCTGAGAGGTGAATTTTGGGGAGCATGACAGTGTCTGCAAGATGCTCCATGGACAGCAGAGCCCCTCTGGGGAGCTTAAAAGGATAAACCCTTTTGACCTTTGCTCTCTAGCTAGAGATTCTCCACCACCACTTCTGCCTTAAGAACCGTGTTCTTTGCTAGACCCCAAAGCCAACATGTCTACTGCCTTTGGTTGTCCCTAGATAAAACACAAGCCCTTGGTTCTTTGCCATGGTTATGTCAGGCTGGAGTTTCCATATTTGCTGTATGTTCTCATAGACAAATATTTTTTTAGCAGTGAACAATGAGACAGACTTTATCATCTTTTATTACATTTTTCTCTCCATGGATTATTAGCTCAGTAAATAAAGGGAGATTAGTGAAGCCCCATCTTCTGACAACGGCTCGAGAGGTCTTTATCAAAGCACTGCATACTCACTAGGCAGAAGCATCCCTAGCTGGGTGTATTCATTTTCTGGGGCTGCTGTGACAAACTACCACAAACTCGGTGGCTTAAAGCAAGAGAAATGTGTTCTCTCACAGTTCTGGTGGCTAAAATCTGGCATGAAGATGTGGGCAGGCCCATGCTCCCTCTGTAGCCTCTGGGACAAGTTCCTTCCATGCCTCTTCCATTCCTTCTTCTGGAAGCACAGGCATTCCGCTCCTTGGCTAGTGGCAGCCTAACTCCAATCCCTGCATTGTCTTCACACGGCCTTCTCCCTGTGTGTCTGTCTCTTCACGTTATATGCTCCTCCCTGTGCCTCTGGTTTTCTTTTTTATTAATCTTTTTTTTCATATTATGGGGGTACAAATATTGTTAGGGTTACATATATTGACCCTGCCATTCCTCCCCTCCCTGCCCCCCCCCCGCCTTACCAAAACATCAGGCATGTCCTACTCTCAGGTGGTGTGCATCGCACCTATTTTGTAAGTGTAAATTCTTCCCCTCCTCCTCCCTCTCATTTGCCCACCACCCGATAAAAGTTTGTTTGTTTGTTTTTTCCCTTTTTTTGACCTTTGGGTTAGATTGTATATCTTAGCCTTTCCCTTGGAAGGTTTAGATGTATTCCCTCTCCCCCCCCCACTATGCTCACCACAACCCTAAGATGTGTATCTCCCCCTCCCCCAAACCCTAGTGGGCACTATCCCCATTTGAGCATCATAGTTTTAATCAGTCGGTACCAATTTGATGGCAAGTAGATGTGGAGCCCGTTTTCTTGATCTTGTGTCACCTCACTTTGGATAACGGGTTTAAGCCTAATGCAGGATAGCATAAATGGTGCTAGCTCACTGTCATTTCTTAGAATTGAATAGTATTCCATTGTGAGCATATACCAAATTTTAGTTATCCACTCGTGAATTGACGGACACTTGGGTTGTTTCCATGCCCTTGCAATAGTGAATTGTGCTGCCATAAACATTCGGGTGCAGATGTCTTTATAGTAGAATGTCTTATATGCTCTTTCGGGTAGATGCCCAACAATGCTATTGCTGGGTCGAATGGTATTTCTATATCTAGCTGTTTGAGGTATCTCCATATTCTTTTCCACAGAGGTTGCACTAATTTGCAGTCCCACCAGCAGTGTAGGAGTGTTCCTGTCTCTCCACATCCTCGCCAGCATTTGTTGTTTTGGGATTTCTTGATACAAGCCATTCTCACTGGTGTTAGGTGGTATCTCATTGTGGTTTTGATTTGCATTTCTCTGATGATTAGAGAAGTTGAGCATTTTTTATATGTTTGCAGGCCATTGTTCTGTCTTCTTTGGAGAAATTTCTGCTCATTTCCATTGCCCATTTCTTGATGGGATTGTTTGATTTTTTTCTTGTTTATTCTTTTAAGTTCTAGATAGATTCTTGTTATTAGGCCTTTATCAAAAGTGTAGAGAGCAAATATTTTCTCCCACTATGTGGGTTGTCTATTTGCTCTAATGATGGTTTCCTTAGCTGTGCAGAAACTTTTTAATTTGATCAGACCCCATTTGTTTATTTTTGATGTAGCGTGTGCCTCTGGTTTTCTAATAATGACACCAATCACATTGGGGTAGGACCCACCCCACTCAAGTATGGCCTTATCTTAACTTGATTACAGCTTCAAAGACCCTATTTCCAAATAAGGTCACGCAGCCTGAGCAAGAGCGAGACCCCGTCTCTACTATAAATAGAAACAACTTAATTGGCCAACTAATATATAGAGAAAAAAATTAGCCGAGCATGGTGGCACATGCCTGTAGTCCCAGCTACTCGGGAGGCTGAGGCAGGAGGATTGCTTGAGTCCAGGAGTTTGTGGTTGCTGTGAGCTAGGCTGACGCCACGGCACTCACTCTAGCCTGGGCAACAAAGTGAGACTCAGTCTCAAAAAAAAAACAAAAAAACAGATAAGGTCACATTCACAGGTACCCGGGGTTAGGATTCCAACATAGCTTCTTGGGAAATACAATTCAATCCCGCAACACTGGGAGAAATGACTGCTCTGCTGAGTCGCCTCACATTCTGACGATTTGCAGCATCTGATGTTCCTGGCCTTGAGCACAGGCACTGTTGGAGTCTTTGCACCCACATAGGACCCAAACTGATCCTTGCATTTATTCCCTGTCTGAAGCAACACACCAAGCCTCCAACACCCACTACTGAGGCTGGTTCTCTGTAGAACAGGAAATTTGGGGACAGAAAATGATTCTAACTACATAATGAGGATCCGAGTACTAAAACAAACTGAATTCTGATCCCACTGTTCTATGAACCTTGGGCAAGTTGATAATCTCATTAAATATAAATGGGCATGAGATTTAAATCAGAAGGTATGTATGAAGTTTAAGTAGCTCACCCATGGCTCACAGTAGGTGCTCAATTTGTACCAGTTTCCCCTCTCACTTCCCCTAGTGCCACCCACCCTGGGGGCATTACAAGGGCTCTGGGCACTGACCCTGACTCTAGGGTACAAGCACATCTCTTCTGGTCTCTCTGCAGTGACATGAGTACCACGGTGGGGAACTGCACCCAAGTCACCTGGTTCCTCCTGCTGGGGCTCACAGAGCAGGAGGAGCTCCAGAGTGTCCTCTTTGTGCTCTTCCTTGTCATCTACTCCGTCACCCTCCTGGGCAACCTGGGCATGATCGCCCTGATCCACGCAGACCCCAAGCTCCACACGCCCATGTACTTCTTCCTGAGCATCCTGTCCTTCATAGACTCTTCCTTTTCCACGGTGGACACCCCCAGGCTTCTGGAGAGCTTCCTTACCTCAGAGCAGGCCATCTCCTTTGCAGGCTGTGTGGTCCAGATGGCCCTCATGACTCTCCATGGCACTGCCGAGTGCCTGCTCCTGGCCATCATGGCCTATGACCGATTTGCAGCCATCTGCCACCCTCTCCTCTACCACAGCATTATGTCTCCACGTCTGTGCGTCCTGCTGGTGGCAGCCACCTATACTGCTGCTGCGGCCAACTCAGCCTTGCTGACTGGGTGCATCTTCAAGCTGCCCTACTGTGGCCCCAACGTCATTAACCACTACTTCTGTGACATCCCCCCTGTGCTCCGTCTTGCTTGTGCCGATACTACGGAGGTTGAAGCCATCGTCTTCTCCTCGTCTGCCTTGCTCATCCTCTTCACCGTCATGGTCATCCTGCTCTCCTATGCCTACATCCTGGTGACCATCTGCAGCATGCGCTCCCTGGAGGCCCAGGGCAAAGCACTCTCCACCTGTGCCTCCCACCTCACCATCATCTGCCTCTTCTATGGCACCATCACCTTCATGTATGCTCAGCCAAGCTCTCACAATTCCATGGAGCAAAACAAGGTCGTGTCTGTCGTCTACACTGTGGTCATCCCCATGCTGAACCCTCTGATCTACAGCCTGAGGAATAAAGATGTCAAACATGCTTTAAAGAGGAGATGTCAGGGCAAGCTGCCTTCCTAACCAAGTGTGGAGTGTGCTATCCTAAGCCATAACACGGCAGCCTCAACACAAAGCATTAACGCTTAGAGCAAAATACGTGCCAACACTATTTTAAAGACTTTACACATACCGGCTCATTTAATCTTCACAATAAGTATATGAAATGGGAACTACACTTATCCCTTAGGAATCTGAAGCACAGAGAAGTTGAGTAACTTGCTCTGTTTTCCCAAGAGCAAACTAGGCAGGCACACCCATCTCGACTGGCTAGTGTTAGACTTCCAGTAGAGGTGGAAGGGGCTCTGTCAGAGGGTCTGTCATAAACAGTTGTTCACAAATCATTAGTTTCCTTTCTTCCCTGGGGAAACCACTCCATAGGTTCAAATACTCTTACACATCAATGTTTTTTTAAGGGTGAGGCCATTTCATGTAGCTCTGATATTATAAAGCATTTTATTGAATCATAAGAAAGTTCTTCCCTTTCTAATTCTCTTTTTTTAACTCTTCTGATTTTGTCAAGTTGAAGTCTCCATTTGGGACTAGTTTGACTTTAAACTGCCCCTAATTTTGTCTCCTTTTTAAACACAGAGACCAAGCACTCAACCATAATAAGCTAGGGTTTAATAATTTTATGTTGCTTTCATTTTTATTTATTTTTATGTTATATTTTATTTAAGATCCTGATTTTTAAAAGGTTTTAAATAAACAATTGTTTAGAACAGCCCAATATTTAGAAAAATCACAACACAGGTGATATACTGGAAAATATCATAAAGGGAGTAAAAAAATGACTTCAGGAACACATATAGATAATTTGCATTTTTCAAAACATTTTCACATTCATTGTTTTTATTTGATCTTTACCCAATGCTTTAAGATAGGTGGGCCATGTGTTATTTAATCCCATTTTACAGATAAACAAAGAAAAAAAAAAGAACCTGAGAGGTTAACCTGACTAGCTCTAAGTCTAACTGCAAGGCCATAAAATTGCTCCGAACAGAAAACCCAGGGGTCCTGAATCATGGTGGAATCCCCCACACACAGTTCTCAACTTCATTTCAGAAAACGTGAACATTCTTGATCTTCTTATATTGTGGACCAAATTGTGTCCCCCCCCCCAAAATTCATATGCTGAAGTTCTAAGCCCCCAGTTCCTCAGAATGTGATGGTACTTGGAAATAGGGCCTTTAAAGAGGTAATTAAGTTAAAATGAGGCCGTTAGTGTGGGCCCCGATCCAATCCGACTGGTGTTCTTCTAAGAAGAGGAAATCTGGACACATGAAGAGATGCCAAAGATCTGCGCGTGGAGCAAAGACCATGTGAGGGCACAGGGAGAAGGCGGCCACCTGCAAGACAAGGAAACAGGCCTCAGAAGAAACCAACCCTGCCAACACCGTGAACATGGACTTCCAGCCTCCAGAACTATGAAAAAATAAATTTCTGTTGTTGAGGCCACACAGTCTGTGTTCTTTTGTCGTGGCAGCTGAACTCACTAACACAGCTACACAGCTCCCATGCTCAAGGCTGCCTCCTTTTCTTTTTTTCCTTTTTTGTAGAGACCGGGGTCTCGCTCTTGCTCAGGCTGCTCTCAAACTCCTGAGCTCAAGCAGTCTTCCCCCCTCAGCCTCTCAGAGTTCTAGGATTACAGGCGGGCCCGGACTCAAGGCTGCCTCTTGATCCAACCTGACTGCTGGAGCTCCAGCCATCAGTTCAGTGTTTAAAGAAGAAAGCTGGAGGAATGAGAAAAAATTGCCAGCTGTCTGTCCCCTTTTGGCAGATGCTATGGTTTGAATGCCTCCCCCAAAACTCATGTTGAAATTTAATTACCACAGTGATGGTATTAAGAATTGGGACCATATGATATAGCACATCTTATATTTTCCTGGTTAGAGCTGGAACCCATACTACTAAGTGAAGTATCCCAAGAATGGAAAAACAAGCACCAGATATATTCTCCAGCAAACTGGTATTAACTGAGTAGCACCTAAGTGGACACATAGGTACTACAGTAATAGGGTATTGGGCAGGTGGGAGGGGGAGGGGGGTATATACATACATAATGAGTGAGATGTGCACCATCTGGGGGATGGTCATGATGGAGACTCAGACTTTTGGGGCGGGGGGGAAATGGGCATTTATTGAAACCTTAAAATCTGTACCCCCATAATATGCCAAAAAAAAAAAAAGAATTGGGACCATAAAGAGGAGATTAGACCATGAGGGCTCTGCCCTCAACAAGAGCGAGTTCATGATGAAAGCAGCTTCTGGCACCTTTTCCCCCTTTGCCCTTGTGCACCCTCTTTGCCTTTCCGCTTTCCACTGAGGAGCGATGCAGCAAGAACCACACCAGGTGCGGCCTCTCAGCTTTGGACTTCACAGCCTCCAGAACCGTAAGAAATATATTTCTTTTCTTTATAAATTGCCCAGTCTGTGGCATTCTGTTAGAGCAGCACAAAACACACAAAGGTGGTAGCCTTCCCAGCACAGCCGTTTGCCTCTCATTAGCCAGAATTCAGACACCTGGGCGTCACATGCCTGTATTAGCTGGGCACATCGCCACCTTGGCTATCTTGGGATTCTGCTTTGAGAGAGAAGGGAAGAGCGAATGCTGGCTGGGGCTCTGGCAGTCTTGGCCACTCCTGCCTGGAGCGGAGGATGGCAGAGAACTGATGGCTCGCCCACAGCCCTGTTCATCCCACTAACAGATTGTGTGTGGACAGTAAGTTTGAGGTTTTTGGCCAACGTAAAAAATTTGATAAGATTTTTATCTTAGTCATTTCAGCTGCTATAACAAAATGCCATTAACTGGGTGGTTTATAAACAGAACTTTTTTTCTCACAGTTACGGAGGCTGGACAGTCAAACCAAGATCAAGGCCCTGGAAGCTTCTGTGTCCAGTGATGGCCCACTTTCTGATTCATAGATGGTTCCTTCTTGCTGTGTGCTCACATGGTAGAAGGGGCAAAAAACCTTCCTGAGGTCTTTTTTATAAGGGCACTAATCCCATTTGTGAGGGCACCACCCTCATGACCTAATCACCTCCCAAAGGCCCCACCTCCTAATGCCATCCCCTTGGGGAGTTAGGATTTCAACATATGAATTTTGGGGGCACACAAACATTCAGACCTTAGCAAACCATGTTTTAAAAATCTATATTCCCAGTTTCTCTGGGAAGAAAAAATGCAAGAGATCATTCGCTATTCTTATTCTAAGCATAGCTATAATCATCTGGTGCTGAATTGCAGCTATTGTTTTAGACAGACACAGACTCTCCAGTTCCTGCTTGTGATATGGCAAAATATATATTTGGTCTTTGTCCCCAGTTCCTGGCATATAACTTCTAAAATCTTTGGAATCTCCAAAGTCCTGTCTTTTTGTCTGCCAATGTTGACGGATGGCTTCAGGCGGCTGGTCACAGGCAGGACAAAGACAGGATTAGAGGACTGGGACTTTTAGGCCCAACCCCAACCTCCTGGGAGGGGAGAGGGGCTGAAGTCAAGTTGATCACCAATAGCCAATGGTTTAATTAATCATGTCTACAAAATGAAGCTGCCATAAACACCCAAGAAGATAGGGCTGGAGGAACTTCCAGAATAGCTGAAGGTTCCTAGAGGGTGAGGACCCAGGGAGGGCATGGAAGCTCCACACCCTCCCACATACCTCACCTATGCATCCCTTCATCTGTATTCTTTGTAACATCCTTTATAATAAACCAGTAAACATAAGTTTCTCTGGGTTCTATAAGCTGTTCCAGCAAATCAAACCCAAAGAGGATGTCATAGGTACCTCACCTTGAAACCAGCCAGTCAGAAGTTCTGGAGGCCCAAACTCACAACTGGTGTCTAAGGAGGGGGTGGTTTAAGGACTAAGCAGTCAACCAAGGGATCTGACTCTGTCTCCATGTAGATAGTGTCAAATTTGAATTGGAGAATACCTAGCTGGTGCCCACCACAGAGCTGATGGTTGGTTGCTTGGTGGGGAAAACCCACCCACACACACACATTTGGTCACAGACATCTTCTGTGTTGTGGTTGTGGTGTGGCAGCAGAGGAAAAACTGCTTGAGTTTTTCAAAAAAACTCCAACCCAGTTTTTCCCACCATTCTTTATTAGAATTATCATTTTTTTATCAATCTGAGTTCCTCATTATACTGCAGAAAATTTATTATATTCATATCTCTAGGAAAAATAAGAAAAGATAACACAGATCCGAAGGGCCACATGTTTCAGGACAAATAGCCAGTGCCTAGAACAATGCCTGGCACCCAGAGATGCTCAATGAATAATACTCTCTGAACAAATAAAGAAAATATTCTCTTTTTAAATGTAAAGAATTTCCCTATAGGCTTATTATGAACACTCTCTCCCCCCAAAAATTTGTCCATAGAGAGAGAATAAAATCTATGTTTTTCATTCATTTGAAGTATCTGAGTGACTTTTATAGGAGTTTATAACCCCTAGTCCATGAGGAAAGTTCTAGAATCCTTAGTATTAACTTACAAGAGACTGTCCCAACCTAACTTTCCAGGGAGCAGCCCACACTTTCCACCAAACGCCTACCCTACAGCCACAGGCCGCCACCTGTCCTGAGCAGGGTGTGCGTTTTCACAGACATGTTCCTCTGCTGACAATCTTCCCCAGTGCCTGGAATATACTGGAATGTACTTTGTCAGCCTGACAAATCTCTCTATCATTCTCGTCCCAGCCTAAACGTAACCTCTTCTGGGAAACTTCTCCAACTCCTACAGATAGGATTCATCATTCCTCCCTCAGTGCTCTGGTTTGCTTTTGTTCAAGAAAAGATTGGGGGGGAAAAAAAGCTATCAGAAACCAAAACAATTTTTTTTTTTTTTTTTTTACTTTCAAGCAAGGAGCCTGATTCAGTGCAAAGTTCAGGAAAGCTTTGGATCTGAGAATGCAGGGGGAGAAACAGGGTAGTTTTCTAAAGTATTTTTCTTCTAGACCATGAATTGTCTCTTTCCCAGGTTAGGAAAGCAAAGTCTCTGGGTGTTACTGACTGGCT